GTCTTTGCTCCAGGTGCCCCTGGTCTGCTGGAGACGGTCCCCAGCAGACCAGAGGCACCGGGAGCAAAGCGGCAGCGGCGGCGGAGTCCCGCGCCTCTGAGGCTTTGCCACAGCAAAGCCTCAGAGGCACAGGACCCCTCCGCCTCCCCGGAGGGACCCCTCCGCCTCCCCGGCTTTGCTCCAGGTGTCCCTGGTCTGTTGGAGACGGTCCCCAGCAGACCAGGGGCACCCGGAGCAGCTTTTCTCGCCCCGAAGGTCGAGGTGGTGGGACCGCTGCGCTCTGGGCGATCCCGCTGCCTGCGAGCTCCGGGGCGAGAAAGCCCCGTTCGTACGTGCGGATCCGACATAAGTCGGATCCGCGTAACTCAGGGACTGCCTGTATAGTGAAACACAAAAGACAATATGTGTTTAAAGTTCAGCATGTGCTTAAGGCCTTCAAGACTTAAGCACCTTAATGGTGTACTGAAATGCTTTCCCATCAGGTCCTTATATAGAACACTGGACACCTATTTTTGAAAATACTAATTTGCAGATGTGCTGAATATTACTATTGTGGCTGATCTCATTCCAATCATCTTTGATATGAGATTGATAATGCTGACTCTGAATGAGAAAGTGGATGAGATAATATCTGTCATTGGATCAACTTCTGTTGGTGAGACCAGCTTTCAAGATACACAGTGCTCTTCAGGTCAGGAAAAAGAACTCAGGCCACGTCTACACTAACAGATGTGAAGCACTAGTAGATATAGCACTGCTCACAGAGCGCTGCAGGGAAACCGCTATTGTGTGTACACATTGTGCTCCTTGTGATGGTGGACACATCCACACGAGCAGCTCTTGCACCGGCACAGAGAGCAGTGTATTGTGTTAGCTGGTCGATTGTGCAACTAGCCACAGGCTTCTCATTGAGGTGATTTACCTAGAACACAGCAACTGAAGAGTTAGTGTGTGCTAAATGCCTTGCCAATGTGGACTAGGGATGTTAAGGACTAGTCGACTCTCCGATAAGCAAATGTTTATCAGATAGTCGACAGGATAGTTGAATAGTCATTTCCTCCCCCCTTGCTGCCTCTATCAGATAGAGACAACAAGGTGTGGGAGGAAAGAGGGGCACTTCAAAGTAGCAGCACTGCATGGATCCCAGGATCAGCTGTGCGGTGCTGTCCCTTTGAAATGCCACTGCGGTGTTTCAAAGGGGCAGTGCCACATGGAGCCCAGGCTCCATGCTGTGCTGCTGCTTTGAAACGCTGTGGCAGTGTTTCAAAGGATCAGCTGTGTGGCGCTGCCCCTTTGAAACGCCACCTCAGCGGCATTTCAAAAGGGCAGTGCCACCTTATTGATTAATCAAATAGTCGATGCAAAAATGCATCGACTATTCAATTAGTGAATTACACGATACTTAACATCCTTAGTGTAGACACCTCAGGTGTTACAGCACTGAGTGCAGTAACTTCCTCAGTGTAGACTCAGCCTCAGCATGTCACAGCTAAACACAAGGTAGTTCACATTAGGGATGTGATGGGTTAGCAGGTTAACCAGGTAATGCTTACTGGTTAAGGTTAATCAGTGGCGGATGGAGCTTTAATTGATTAACTGGTTAAACATAATGTTTAAGTGACTGACTAGTTAAATGAGATTTTACATCTCTAGTTCACATATATTCTAGCTAAGGAACCATTCAGATCAAGTGGCCCATTAACAACGCTGAAATCACAGGACAAAAAGAGGGGCTAGTGGATTACAGACTGTGGTAATAAATCATAAATCCAATGTCTTATTAAGAAGACCATGATTTTTGGTGTCTGACAAAGTTATGAATTTAAGTTCCCATCCCAGCTTGATCTTTGGAAGGTGTTATGTAGGTTTTCTTTGAGGACAAGGTCAGGATTTATGGTTTATTATTACAACAATCTAATCCACCAATCTCCCTCCCTTTCTTTAGTTTTATGATTGCTCTGTACGTCTTTGAAATATGTATTAATTATTTATGTTAAACAATTTGTTGCTGTTTATATGTAACTGTCACACTCTCTACGTCTACACTGTAGCCTTCTTCCACAAAAGCTTAGACAAGCTTAGACAAATGAAGCACGGAGTGAAATAGTGTCGCACTTCATTTGCAATGAAGCGCGGAGTGAAATAGTGTCGCACTTCATTTGCAATAATTAATTAGCAGCTGCTTTTGCGCAAGAGGGTTTTGCGCAAAAAGGAGCTGTGTAGACGGCTTCTTTTTGCGCAAACCCCTCTCCGGTGCAAGAGCTGTACTTTCTGTAAAAATGAGGAAGAACATCTCTTGCGCAAGAGGGGGTTTTTGTGCAAAAAGGAGTCGTCTACACAGCTCCTTTTTGCGCAAAACCCTCTTGCGCAAAAGCAGCTGCTAATTAATTATTGCAAATGAAGTGCGACACTATTTCACTCCGCGCTTCATTTGTCTAAGCTTTTGTGGAAGAAGGCTACAGTGTAGATGTAGCCTCAGAAACTTTCCAAGACCTGACAAAAAGCTCTGTGCAATTTGAAAACTTGTCTCTTGCACCAATACAAGTTGGCCCAATAAAATATATGACCTCACCTATCTTGTCTTTCTAATATCCTGGGACTAACATGGCTACAACACTGCAAATAACATTAACCATGACTGTATTGAAATAAGATTTCAATCTTATTTACTGTATGTGTCTTGTAGGAGATGATATTTATGCCATTTTACAAAATTCATGACCTCATGCCAAGACATTGTCACTATGCATTATCATAGTTATGGCACTTTACCTTTAAGGAAGGGGAGGTGGGCTTTTAACATGCCAGCAGCAGTCTACATAACGTTATTAAGTATGCATTACAAAATCACAGATCTCTTTGCCAGGGCTGCAAAGAGGTTATTAGAGGGTTGGGGCAAAATCTGAAACAGAGGCTCTCCTCTCTTCCAGATACCACTGAGAAGAAAGGGGTGGAAACTGTACCCACCCTGCACTCACCTCATGGCAATGATTCCTGTCCTGTAGGACTGGGCCTTGTGCCTCTCAATGTGGGACCTGGCTGGCACACCAGGTTGCAACACCGCTCACTTTGTGGGGCCATTCAAACTGGGTGCCTGGGGCATCCAAAGGCGTGAAAACAAAGTACAGGCAGTCCCAGGGTTACGTACAAGATAGGGACTGTAGGTTTGTTCTTAAGTTGAATCTGTATGTAAGTCGGAACTGGCGTCCAGATTCAGCCACTGCTGAAACTGATCGCCAGTTCTGACTTACATACAGATTCAACTTAAGAACCCCAAGCATCCCCAAGTCAGCTGCTGCTGAAACTGATCAGCGGCTGATTCCAGGAAGCCCGGGGCAGAGCAACTCTGCCTCGGGCTTCCTGTAGTCTTGAACATGATGACCATTTGTACTTTAGAAGGAATGTTGCCTGTGTGTGCCCTGCAATACACTGGATGTTATGATAATTTTTACAGAAGTTCTTCATGTCTTACTCTGTAAAAGAAGCTTATTTATCAATATGCTACGATAAACCATATAGAAGCTAATTTATTTTGTATATTTAACTGTTTTTACTTGCAGCTGGAAGTCTGCCCAGGCTAGTTCATTGCTGCAGGAGGAGAGTCAGAAGGTGCTTCTCCGTCTGTTGTCCCATCCTCTGCTGATCATAAAAAATGAAGCTTACCATTGCTGTCTGGAAATTGTTAAGGTTAGTGCTATATATGGGTCTTATGTTCTTTGGAAAAATGGGGGTTTCTTTAAATTTATCCGTGATATTACAATTTATTCTGTTTCCAGTCTGCTACCGTATTTTCCGGTGTATAAGGCTACTGGGCGTATAAGACGACCCCCTAATTTTTTAGTTAAAAGATAGGGTTTCGTCTTATACCCCAGGACCGCGCCGCGGCTGCGGCTTTGCTCCTGGTGTCTCTGGTCTGCTGGAGACAGTCCCCAGCAGACCAGGGGCACCGGGAGCAGCTTTTCTCGCCCCGGAGGTCGAGGTGGTGGGACCGCTGCCTGCGAGCTCCGGGGCAAGAAAGCCCCGTTCATAAGTGCGGATCCGACATAAGTCGGATCCGCGTAAGTCGGGGACTGCCTGTAAAATTAATTTTTTCAAGGTTTTTATCAAATTGATTAGTGACTGAATTAAGTGAGAAACAGAATATGAAGGTTCAATGAATTCTAATATTTTTTCTTTTAAAACTTTTATTTCCCTATAACGTTCAAAATTAAAAGAAGACAGAAATTTTCTGCTGACCTTCAACAGCTGTGTCTCTGTGTTACCTCTTGCCCCTAAGACGACCATGGCCACGGCAGCAGAAATACTGAGTGGAGAGAAGAAGATATTTCCTGTTGGGTTGGTTTCATTCAACTTTCTAAACAGCTCAAGAGCAAACTGGGTGTTTGCATTACTCAGTTTCTCCATGGTTACAAGCTGAAAAATACAACAAATGCAATCAAGGCTTCCAGTAGTTATTTTCCAAAAGCTAAATGTCCTGTGTTACACAGAACAAAGATGAAACTAACAAAAGAGCATTTGTACCACAGGGAAGTCAGAAACAATAACTCCAGTTTACTTCCCTCAGACATTAAGAAATTCACATAAATAGATACAGCAGCAAGTAGATTGTCTACCACAAATCCTCTGGTCACATGAAACTTACAGATGTTACATAATAAACCTCACTAGCCTCTTACCTCTTTGGAACAAATGAAGTTTAAGGGGCTTCCAGGAATTGACACTAAAACCCTCTTATTCTAAATTCATAAACCTCATACAGTCTAAACAACTGATGAGTAACCTCCTACTTGTTTTCCCACTAATGCATTTGTTAATTGCAACAGTTAAGGCCGTCCATTATAGTAGCTGCGATATCTCCATCTCATCTGAGATCTGTTTCTACCGAGCAGACCATAAAGATTCCAGTCCTCCAAAGACTTGCTTATCTGTTTAACTTTGTGCTCTGTGTGAACTCATTGGGACTACTAACTATGGATCAAGTTTAGCATATGCCAAATCTTTGCAAGATTAGTACTCAAGAATGAAACTAAATGTGTAGGAGACCTGAGGTTTTGAAATCAAAACAGAAATACTGAGCATGGGGCCTGCTGCTGCACATAATCTCCCCTGCCCCACCTCCCAAACCGTTATAACACTACAGTACTATGGTAGTTCTAGCTGAACTCTAAAATGCAGATTATGCCCTTTAACTGACAGCAAGGAAGCATTCAGGTTTCCAAAAGGACTGATTCTCTTATAACTTTTGCAATTCTGCTTTGTCTAATTCTCTACTAAACAAGAATTTAAAGCAGGTATTTCTACTATTTTCCCAAAACTGCAGGCATCTGCCTGAGTTTTTAATTAATTTCCCACCTCTAGCTCCTTCTCTCCACTGACATCAAGATATAGTAAAGCTGATTAAAAATGGGAAATGTAGGCAAATATGGTAACATTGATTCTCTTCAGACACAGATGAAAAACAAACCTCCACAGATGAAAAACAAACCTCCACCTAAGGCGTGAGGGTTTCTCAAAAATCAAAAAGGGGGAGTGATGCCAAAAAGTTTGGGAACCACAGCTGTAGAGTTTGCAGGGCAGGCTCTAGTGGGAAGCCGTTTCATCTCCCTGGCGGGAGAGGCTCAGCTGACACCGCTGCCTCTGTGTCCCCTCTAGGCACGCGGGCAGGGAAGCAGACTAGGCCGAAGGGCTCAGGAGCAGCCCTCGCTGCACATTTCTCATACGCGGAGAGGGGCAGACTGCGGGCTCCGCGCTCCATGGCGCAGGGTCCTCCCTGTAGCCCGTTTGTAGGAGCCAATGAGCGGGCAGCGCGGCTCCCCCTCCCCTATTCTAGGACGGGGACAAGCTGGTCTCTTACCCTCCTGCCGCCGGCTGGGGAGTCCTGGGCTGCAGGCTCTAGCGGAGACACAAGAACCGGGGACTCGGCCCGGGGCGGGGAGAGTGCGCGCGGGCTGGGCTGGGCTGGGCTGGGGGAGGGAAATGCACAGGCCCAGGGTGCGGCTGCTCCGGGGAGCGGAGTGACTGCGCAGGGAGAGCGGGCGGCAGCCTTTGCAGGTGGGGCAGGGGTGGGGAGTTGCACCGGGCTGGCAGGAGGCGCACGTGAACCCACAGACACCAGGTTCGGGAGGCAATAGCTGCACAGCAGCACCGCTGCTTTTTGTTAGTGCTGAGGTTGCTGCGCTAGGCCAAAGTAGGTGAATTCCCAGGGTTGCTAAGGCCTGCGTGAGGAGTTCAGTGGTTGGGGGTAGGCAGCAAGCTTTCACCTCACGAGGTGGGAGAGAAAAGGGTGAGGCAGAAAGAAAATGAAGCTCTGAAGAGAAAAGGTAATGGAAGAAAATAGAAGAGACAGACAATCTAGACCTCAGAAAGCTCATACAGAGGAAGAGGAGAAGAGAGACTGTGTGCAAGGAAGAGGGGTGGAACTGTCCTGGAAATGGGGTGATACATATAATTGATATTAATAGAGAAGTAGACTTGTGTTTTCCCATCCTGCGGGTTCTTGCAGAGTGCTTCAGTTTTCCATTTGTGAAAAAGGAAAAGTGCTGCCTGAAAATTGATAGGGAGTGGGTACCTTTCTCCTTAGTGTGGAAAGTAAAATGGAAGGTTCGAGAATGTGGCCAGCCCCAGAGAGGTGCAGAAATAGGCAGCCTTGTATTGAATATTTTTAACTTTTAATAAAATGCTTTTAACTATAACTTTTTATTTATCAACTTTTTACATGCGTGGGCGCCAGATAATTACTAACAGTAACAACAAACTGCAATACAATAGAGGAAAATGCCCTGGGGTTTCTCTAAGTCTAAGTAATTATCAATAATACCCCAGGGATTTTTATCAGTTATATTTACATTAATTTCACTCATAAGGTTTAACATCTATTTTAGCTCCTAACTATACTATTTAACAAACTTCTAACTAACTTACTCTTAACACTATTATTTATCAAACTTTTAATTAACTTTACACAGTAATACTCACATTTATCAGATATACAAGGGACAACAGCATATTCGTTATTCGTTATGCTCTGCAAAAGATTCGGTAGATTCGGTGAGCGGGAGGGGGTCCTCGGGTGATCAGCCCTCAGAACCTGGCTCGTGTTCTGCCTTCCAAGTTTTCGGGAACCCTCAACTGCATGCAGGAGGGGTAGCTTTTTTATAGCAAGAGCTATAAAGCAAGAGCTTTCCCGCGCCTAGTTGTGATAGGCTTGACAGATTCAGTCTGCCTAGTGGCAGGCTGAGGGGAGGGTGAGGGGGTGAGATGGCCCTTGACTGGCGCAAACTTCGCATGACCCTTACCTGCCTGGTGTCTTGCTCCTGGTTTTTACTGATTTTATGTCAAATAGTGCAGGATTTTTGGTTTGAGGGGAAGGTAAACTTGGGCTAGGAAGGCTATGCGCATGAGGCCTGGCCAGAAAAGAGCCTGTTTTCACATGCCCCCGTGGCCAGGGCCCAGAGCGAACCAACCTGCTCAATGTTACACAGTATCCTCCTCATCCTCTTTGTTGATAAGAGGTATTGCTTCTGTTACCATGACACTATGAACTGTGCCTTAAGGCATGCACATGAGATACACACCAGACAGGAAAAAATACTAAGAAGGAAGGGGAGAATAATATCCTTATACCGACCCAAGCCCAACCAATTTATGAGCCAGGTGAGACCGAAGAATGATCGCCCTTCTCTCACCTCCCTAACAACCTGATCAATATTAGAAATTACATCAGTTATATTTTGGTGTACAGAAGTGATTACCATACAACATTTTCCGTTAAAAAGTTCCTTTGCTTGGGGCTGATCATGGAGCCACTTACAGAACCCGCCCTCTTTTGCTAGTAAATAATTTAGAGCTAGACGGTTCTGCATGACATATGTCCGGATCTCTTCAAGCTTGTCTGATAATAACGAGAGTCCCTTTGCTGTGCTGTTGCCGAGGCGCTCAATCGCTTGGCCTTGTAAACTTAACTGTTCACGAAGCATTAAATGTCCAAGAGGATTAAAGGTGGCCACAGCAAGTGCAGCCTTTCCAAACCAAGTCTTTAATGACTCCCAAATGTTCCCTAATACACGTTTTTACGCAGAAAGCGGGGTTGGAGTTCATGGTTGTGAAGGGTAAAAAGTCCTCCTCCTTCGATAGTCACATATCCAAAGGTACAACGTCCACGCGAATTAACAGGTAGATGGGAATGGGCTTGATTGCCACACAACCAAAAATGTCCAGGCTTCAAATATTTGTTATTAAAAAAGGAAGTTACATTCCCTTTAGAAACTGCTTCAGAGGGTGTTCCCCATACTGGTTGGTGGGAACCAGCTAGATAGCGTTGGGCACTAAATAAAGCTTTTGCAAGGGATAGGGGATACAGACTAACTTCAGAGGGCCTTCCACTTGATTGAAGGTTAACAAATAATCGGGTTAGATTTAAGCCTAAGAGGTTGCTATTAATTAACTGAGAAGTTATACTGTGGCCTGTACTATTAAGGACGCCAGTAGTAGTAATGGTAAGGTAACAATCACTTTGATTCCCTACTAAAATAAGGGAGCCTACAGGATGTGACTGGTTGTGGGTAGGGACCCCTAAAAACTAAAAACATGGGAACCGGGGACAATTCGTTTTGTTAGCTTCAGGAAAAGGGGTTAGTTCCAAACTTGTTAAAGTTGGGGCTCGGTGAATGGGGTATGAATCACTGCTCCAATTCTCATAATTGGAATGGGTTGTAAAATTAAGGACTATTGGTTGAATCAAGAATGGAGGGGTAAGTACAGAGGTTACAGATAAGGTGCATGCTAAGCATTCCATAACGTTTCCTTGGACTGCATAGGCGCGTAACCAATCTTCAAGGAAGGAATGTTCTTCTGTGCCCTAAAAAAGAAAACAGATCGCGACTCGGTCGCGGTTAGGATCGTTTACTTAACCAATTATGATGAACTAAAACTAGATTTCCATTGTCTTGGTTTTGGACCCAATAGGTGTTGGGGTACTGGCCAACCTGCTTGATTACAGTTGATATGGGGTCTTTTGTACCACTGGCATTGGGCTCCGTGACCCACACCTTGTCACTCGGGTGGTATTTTGGAGTCCACTGAGGTGGTGTGACCGGTTGGATATCAGGCCATCTGGAAAAAGATCGATTAATACACAACACAACTTCATCTAGGACTCGATGCCATCCTTTAAAGTCTGGACTTGTATTGGCTAATCGGAGTCCTTGCTTTAAAGTACCAATTTTTCTTTCTATGACTCCGTTACTTTCAGGGTGGTATTTTAAATGAATATGGTTACAGATGTTGAATTTTGCAAATAGTTGTTCTAGCTGCTTTGCATTAAATGATGGGCCTCCATCGGTTTGGATTTCGTGTGGTATTCCTCAATGGCTTATACATTTAATAATTGCTAACCCAACTGCGGAGGCATCGGTTCGCCTCATAGGTAAGCACCACAACTGTCGTGTACCAAGATCGACCACTACAAGTGCTTTGGGGTATTGTTTTGCCCCCGGGAGGGGATCGAGGAGATCATACTGCCATGTCAGACCTGGTTTAAGGTATTCCGCCTGAAAGGTTTCTAGATTATGTGTAGCCCGGTTCATGGCTTTATATTGATGACAACATAAACAGTTGTGACTTGTTGCCATGTTTTTTGAGAAATCTCGGGCTTTTTACTTAAGGCATAATGCTTACACTCATTATAATTGGTTTGTGGACCCCAATGTCCCCATTCAGCATGTAGCCATTGAGCTAAAGCTGATGTATTCGCTGGGACTACTGGGCTAGTCACTAACTGTATTATATTCTCATCTACTTGTGCTGATTTTATTGGTGTGGGTGCTTCCCATGTTTCGGGGTTTTCACTTTGGAGGCATTGATCTAGCCACGTGTGTGCCCAATGAGTATCGGGTTTGTGGGATGGACAATGGGTAATGAACCATGTTTTCATATGCGCGGCTGCCTTAGCTATGGTGGGTTCCCAAATTTCGGGGTGTTTTGAAGGTGTTCCGGTCCCTGTTAAGATTTTAACATTATACATGGAGTCAGTTCCCAAAATGGGTGTTACGCCTTTAGGATGACTGGTGACTACATGTAAGATGCCTTCACTGGCTGTGATGGCTTCGGCTTTTTGGGCTCCAGTATCAGGGGGCAGGTTTATTATTGTTAACTGCTGACATTTTGTACAGTAGTAGCCTGCCTGTTCATACGACAGGATCTTACAGTTAGGTGGCAGTGTGCATTTTTTAAGGGTGTTCATTAAAGCTTGGGTGCACACTGCTGGTGAGTTGCGATATCCCTGAGGGCAGACCAACCACTTATAAAGCTGGCCACCAAAGGTAAAATTGAGTAATCCCTTACTATCAGATATTGGTACTTGATAAAACATGTCTGTTAAGTCTAGCGTGAAGCCCCACTGCCATCGTTTATTTTTCAATATGGCTTCGATCTCTGGCAGGGTTTTTGGGGCAACAAATGGTATGGGGGTAATGAAGTCATTTGCTTTCCTGTAATCAATTACTAATCGGTAGGACGGGTGTTCTGGGGTAGATTTTGGCTTTTTAATTCCCCATCCTGGTGATAAATATGGACCTGGAGAAGCATAGTCAATTTTTCCTTCAATTAACAGCCTATCTAATAAGGCTTGGATACTCGGTCTTCCTTCAGGTGAGGTTGGAATAGATTTACATGACCAAGTACCTGATTTGGCAAGTGTGGGTTGATGTACAGTTTGGGTGGTTTGGATTGGTAGTGCTGATAACACTGTGGCCTTAAGATTCAGCTGTTTTAAATCGGGCATTCCTAGTAAGTTTTTATTTCAAAGCAGGGCTTTTATTTTATAATTATGTCCATGGTGGTGGACAGTAACTAACACCAATTCAGATTGCTGGGCTTGGTGTAAGCCTTGGACCCAAACTTTTGACCCCAACTTGGTATGGGGGACGTCTTTTGTAATAATAGAGATTTGTGCCCCCGTGTCTAATAAAAAGCGTATGGGTTTCTTTGATTCTTTTGCAAGTAAGGTTTTGTATGGTCGAGTATCTATATCAGTGTCAGCCGGATGGCATTCAGCCTTTACTGGTTTTTTGGCTGGGAACTGTCATTTTCACTTTTTCCCCATTGTTTCCATCCGAAGGTTTGTGCTATGATTTCCTGCTGTTCCTTATTAAAGCTACGGATTTTTTCTTTTGTTAATCCCTGTCCTAGTAAAAACCCAAACAATGCTCTTTCATATCTTGTCCGATCGGGTGGCAGGTTTCTTTTTGGCTTTTTAAGATTTTCTACTGGGAGATTTTCATGTGCTTTTTCTTTTAAATCTACATTATCTATCACTTGATAAAGGGCAGTAACGGGCCTGCCTTCTGTGGTCCGAAGCCACATAAGCAGCCCTGGATCTTTACTCCCTGTAGCCTCAACAGCTGAGTCAATAGCCATTGCTCCTATTGGAACTCGGCTAGCGTTTGCAAGAAACCGGACTGGATTGGGTTGCCATGTTTGAGCCTGAGTGAGACCTAAGGGATGCCTAGCAGGATCCCAGGTTAAAATGCTAAGACCCACACAAGCGTGCATCAATTGCTGTTTCGTTTTTATACTACCTGGGGGTAGACTTAAGGCTGTAAGGCTTCCCCCTAGGAGAAGACGGCAGAAGCCAGGTACAGATAGTGGGTATACCGTATTGGTAGACACTATGGATGAGTTACTGGTACCCTTTGCCCAGTTAGGTGACCTAGACAAGAACATACATTTATCCTTGTCAAGCCATTCTGACCCGTTTTCCAACGTTAATCTCCCTAACCATGCCACGAGGGGTTCATTAGGCTTTCTCTCAATATCAGCAAGTAGCTCCTTTAACTCTGTCTTATTACATGATTGGAACACTGTCTGTTGATTAGTCCGCCCAGTCACAGCATCAAAAGTTGTCTTAACAACAGAAATGGGTAAGCCTTCTAAAATTGGAGGGTCCGCTGGGGGTGCCGAAGGTACTGCACGATCTGCCTCCATTACAGCCTCCCACTGATATGGCACGGGAAAATGTTTTCCTTGGAGTGCTAGGTCACTCTGATAGTCTCGGTGTTCTGGGTTCTCTAACGAACTTGGGGCTAGCATTACACCCACTGTACGCAATAACACCTCAGTAGGGTTTTGTGGGTCTGAGGCCGACGCTACGGCTGCAGTCCGCAGCGCTGCCTCAGCGCTTCCCAGTCTATGCAAGGTTCATTTTAAAGCATGCCAAAACGTTCCAATTACCTTCTCTGGTTGGTAGGTATCTTTTTTATGTTTTCTATTCTCCAGCAATTCACCTAGGGTATGGATTAAAATACTATGTTTAGCAGTGCCAAAGGGGGTTTTTGGTCTAAAGTCAGTAGGTTTTGAGGGGTGTCCTACTTTCTTTAGTATTTTTGGTTGGGGGTAGGCAGCAAGCTTTCACCTCACGAGGTGGGAGAGAAAAGGGTGAGGCAGAAAGAAAATGAAGCTCTGAAGAGAAAAGGTAATGGAAGAAAATAGAAGAGACAGACAATCTAGACATCAGAAAGCTCATACAGAGGAAAAGGAGAAGAGAGACTGTGCAAGGAAATGGGGTGATAAATATTAATAGAGAAGTAGACTTGTGTTTTCCCATCCTGCCTGTTCTTGCAGTGTGCTTCAGTTTTCCATTTGTGAAAAAGGAAAAGGTGTTGATTTGATTCAGGTTGGTGGAAGACAATGTGCTGACACAAGTCTTCCATAGACTGGGTGCCTTTTCCACATCTCCAGGGACATGAACCACATCCTGTTCGTGACGCCATGTGGGCTGCCCGAAAATTGGTAGGGAGTGGGTACCTTTCTCCTCAGTGTGGAAGGTAAAATGGAAGGTTCGAGACTGTGGCCAGCCCCAGAGAGGTGCAGAAATAGGCAGCCTTGTATTGAATATTTTTAACTTTTAATAAAATGCTTTTAACTATAACTTTTTATTTATCAACTTTTTACATGCGTGGGCGCCAGATAATTACTAACAGTAACAACAAACTGCAATACAATAGAGGAAAATGCCCTGGGGTTTCTCTAAGTCTAAGTAATTATCAATAATACCCCAGGGATTTTTATCAGTTATATTTACATTAATTTCACTCATAAGGTTTAACATCTATTTTAGCTCCTAACTATACTATTTAACAAACTTCTAACTAACTTACTCTTAACACTATTATTTATCAAACCTTTAATTAACTTTACACAGTAATACTCACATTTATCAGACATACAAGAGACAACAGACAACAGCATATTCGATAGATTCGGTGAGCCGGAGGGGGTCTTCGGGTGATCAGCCCTCAGAACCTGGCTCCTGTTCTGCCTTCCAAATGTTCGGGAACCGTCAACAGCATGCAGGAGGGGTAGCTGTTTTATAGAGAGAGCAAGAGCTTTCCCGCGCCTAGTTGTGATAGGCTTGACAGATTCAGTCGATTCAGTAGATTCAGTGACAGGCTGAGGGGAAGGGGAGGGGGTGAGATGGACCTTGACTGGCGCGAACTTCGCATGACCCTTACCTGCCTGGTGTCTTACTCCTGGTTTCTACTGATTTTAAGTCACATAGTACAGGATTTTTGGTTTGAGGGGAAGGCAAACTTGGGCTAGGAAGGCTATGCGCATGAGGCCTGGCCAGAAAAGACCCTGTTTTCACACTCAGCAGTTGCTAGAAGCATCCCGCAGACCGTTGTCAGGGGTTCCGCGAGAAATCATGGCACACTCAGCAGCTGCTAGAAGCATCCCGCAGACCATTGTCAGGGGTTCCTCGAGAAATCATGGAATAAATAATTTTTTTTTACAATGTAAGCTGACATATATAACAGCTCTTTACAAATAATTTTTCTTGACAATAAATTAGCAGTAATTGGATTGTGCTCCCTGCTGTCAATTTTTTCTGGCCAAGCAAACGTTTTCATAGGTAAGGGTTCCTCGGGATATGAAAAATTATTTTAGGGGTTCCTCCATGGGAAAAAGGTTAGGAATCACTGCTCTAGAAATACATGTAAACAAACAGTTTTCAATAGTCAATTGGCTCAGTGGGTAAGAGGATTTCCTTCAGTTTCTCCAGAGTTAAGAATTGCTGTTCTGTATACCAATGGCCAGCTCCCATGGCAGCTTGGAATGCCTGCCCTACCTCTGTCCACCAGGTACAGTTCCTTTTCACATCCTTGAAGTCAAATGAGTGTTTAGACTTCCTTATAGTTTTGTGGACAATGCTGAACTCTTTGTTTCCAGTACCTATGGGGCAATGATTATGAAGGGGAAGGATTTGTAGTTGGCAGAGGGAATGAAAACTTTGCACACAATACAGGACTGGTATCTTAGTGCAATTTGTAATACAATGAAAGGTTATTTTCAACAATGATGTTTCCATTGAAATAATTAGATCCATGAAAGAGAGCTGTGTCCTCCTCAGACCTCTCCGTACCACATTATGAGGCTCTGTTGGCAAACGTAATTGGCGATTGAAACTGAGTTAGCGCTGAGATACAGAGATGGAGGGATGTATTAAGCAAATAGTTATGGCTAAAGAGCAGTCAGGACTCCAGCTAAACAAACCTTTAGGTACTTCGGATACAATTCTCAGAACAGCCCCTAAATTCTGAGTTCAAAGTTAACCACCCTATTGCCTCTCAGTATGTTCCTGACAGCCAAGTATTATAAAAGGGGCAATAAATACTGGACTTCACTGGAAGTAGGAGCCCTGCTATTGCAGTCTTAGAACAGCAGAGCCTGCCTCTACTAGCTAATGACAGCAAAATACTCACAATGTTTGTTTCAGTCACACTGCAGCTGAAGAACTGCACCATGAACACCAAACAAAATTTGACCCCACAGCACTTCACATCAGTTCCTTTATTACTGCTTCAAGGAGCAGAAACAGCAAGACCAATATCATTGTATATAACTACTATAGCATAGAATTTAGCATTATTAGTCTAAGCAAAAAAAAACAAAAAAAAACTTGCTGAGTTACATACTACCTCCCTGGTTAGTTACATTAGATACAAATATGAGAGCGCTTGCATTTAAATTGCTGTACATGTCCTGGAATATATTACAATCTTTGTTATAGATAGAAACATCTGTCCTGTTTCACAAGTCTTTGAGTGTAACCCAGGTTAACTAGTGACAAGGCACATGCAGGGTGATATTCTGGCTGCACTGAAGACAATATTATCTTTGACTTCAGTGGAGTTGACTTTATCCCTACTCTTGCATAAGGACTTGCTCAGTTATTCCCCAAGAGCATCATTCATAAAAATCTTATTTAAAAAATATCTAGGGACATAGCTAGACATGGAAAACCAGTATGGAAAATGAGACAGGGAGAAGGGAAATTTAAAAAAAAAAAGTATTTGGAGCTCAATGAAAAGTTAGTTTTTTTCTTCCCCCCATAAGATATACCACTTGTTGCTAGCTAAGCAACCCCAAGTTTGAGAACCAGGTTTCAAGGGCAGCATTTACAGAGATGGATCAATACATTAAGCAAAGTAGTTATTGGTAAAGAGAAACCAGGACTCAAGCTAAACAAACCTGCATTTATTTAGATACACAGGATATGCAGAGATGCTTTCCAGTGAACGATGGCAAATGCTATTATACTTTTACAGTTTGGAACTAACTTTCTTGTGTTAATAGCTGTATTACTAATTTTTAGGGGCAACAAAATCTGCCATAGAACATAATGCTGCCAGTGTTGTTGTGCCGGATAAAGAACATGAAAGGATGGTCAACAGTGAACCTAGGTACAATCATTGCACATCGCAAAGTAATCACTGCTGCAGTAGCAGCTGCTGCCTCAGTGCCTTCTTCATTCACTTCCACAAAGGACTTGTGAACAACCTGAGACATAAAAAGGTCATTGTTGGCCGACATTCCAGATAAATCTGCCTTTTTTCGGTCAAATACATCAGTCATTCCCATGCTCTTCAGAACAGGCTTCAGATCGAAAGTTTGCTCCAACTTAAATTTGGGTAGAAACACCTCAACTTCAGTATCATCCATCATGTCTGGATTTATCCACTCTGCAAGTTTCTCATCAGTAATTTCTCTTTCCAACTACAAGAAAAAAAGGTCACAAAATTAAAGTGGAAGAAAAGCCATGAATTTATAACAAAACAACGACCACGGTGTGTTCATATCCAAGGAGATGAGCATCTTTTCTGGGTTTGGAGTGAATGTTATTGCTGTAATCAGAAGCCAAAAACATTCCTATTCCTTTTCCAGGATCAGAGCCCCACTGTGCTATATGCAAGTACTGACATAAGGCCATCTTTCATGGTGACAAGTTGACGAAATTGCATGTCACTAGCAATGCAGTGTGCTTTGTAAAGGTGGCTACCATGGGAGAGGCATTACTATGTCAGTGCCCCTTAACAACCAGGTAACAATACAGCACAGAAAGGAAATCAGTAGTTTTTGAATGGAGAACCACTTGAGGACTCCCATGTGATGCACCTGTTAGGTAGAGGGTCAGGAACAGAGAGAGAGCTCAATTCCCCTCCCCACCAACAGTTATTAAGGAATATGGGGGTGAAATCCATCAAACAGGAAGTGATCTGTGAGTGGAAGCTCTCTAGGATCTCCCTCAATCGGTCACTCACTCCATTCTGCTTTCATCCCAGTCCCTGGTGACCCCTCCTCTGTTCAAGAAGTCTCTCCTTTCTGATCTCTAGACATCAGAGAGAGCTGGATGTACTTGACAGTGAGATACAGTGTTCCCATCTTTTGGGGGACAGATGCAGTGCCTCCTCGGCTCTCCCACCCTGTGCTGACACAGGTGAGTTAGGAGCTGGAGGCTTGAATACACAGATCTAAATGAGATTTAGTCAAATTCTCTTCTCTAGCAGGATTTCAGCTGTCTTTGTGTTCTGTACAAAGTGTCTTACCTGTTCCAGACCAGTGGAATTATCTTGGATTTCATCAGGAAGCAGAATAATCATACTAGTCTCATTATCAACATAAGGGAGCTCAAGGACTTTGGTCTGAAAGTCTCCTAAATATCCCATCTTAAATGTAGCTTTCTTGAACATCATCTGCACTGGTTTGCTTTCGTCCTTTTAAAAAAATATCAAATGTCAACAATTAATACAGAGCCAGCATGTTTGTAGTACACTAAAAGAACTAAGATTCAGATCACATAGAACATTAGAAATCAAGCTGCACAAAACGCTATAACATATTGCAGGGAAGGGTGACAACCTGGCCCTTCAGGTTGTGAGGGAATGAACCAGAATTTCATTAGGCTTTCCCATTTGTAATATGTATTCCTTTGAAATTTATTTTGATTGAAGTACCACATGTATTTTAGGGTGGTAGCTTAGGTATACATAGGGTGTAGCTATCTATCAATACAATTGTTAAAACACTGAATCTCTGAGCCTAAACAATTTCACACCTGGATTTAAGCCTTTTAATTTACCTTCATATTTTAATCTTTGCTTCAACATGGACAAGGAACATCTTCTTTTAGGCTATTTAACTTAGGATACTATTTTGTTCCTTTTCGTTACTGATCCTTGGAATGCAATATTAAAAGAAATGTCAAATATTTATTAAATCTCTAAATTATAAGGCCAGTAATTGTTTCAGAAGATCATTTTGAAATCCACTATATCTTACCATTTTTCTTATGAAACACAAGGTAAGAAGGTTTTTCATTATTTTCTTGTCATTCAAGTTGAGAAAATAAGGATTAGCCTTACACTTTAAGGCCATTAATCAAACTTTTCCAAACCTTAACTTAAAAGGTTAGCAGGCAAGAGATTTCAAACATCTCAGTATTAAATGGTAAATATGGCCAGGGCTGCTATTGCTTGTTAATACATGAAAGGAAGGGTTGGGCGGAAAGAGAGACACGCAGCCAGACTTTCCTAAAGATCTTGCAGAACATTAGAAAAGTAGCAGGCTCAAAAACCTTTGAAAGCATGAACCTGTGAGTAAATTGAAGAGAATGGCTATTAATAAAAAAAAATGGAATGGATATTAGTATGCTGGAAAAATTGCTGATGTGCTCAGGGTTGATACAGAGCAGTGTGGCAGCTTTTAATCTGGTTTCCCACACTTACTGGAAGGTTGTATGTAACCATGAATATTAACTGATGAGTCCAGGCTTATCGGTTAAACATTTACACAGTTACACTTTCACATCCCTAGTATGCACTGTCTAGAGGAGAGATGGGCACACTCAAGTGGATAGTGCGGGTTCATCATCATTTTTGGCTAGGAAGTGTTTGCAGCCCCTGCTAAGTGTCTATTGAGTTTCCTCTATGCTGCCTTGTAAAATATGAGGTTACAGTACAACAATGTGTTATCCCTTGAGTGCTCAGCCAAGTGCTAGTTCATCATTTAGTAACAATATTTCTTGGGAAAAACTCCCTCTTACCCCTCCATTTCAACCAAATTTCACTATAATCACTGCTGTGTACTGTATAAAATTGTTTAAAACTTATACCGTATATGTATATACTGCCTTTTCTCTGCTAAAAAAAAAATGTCCTGAAACCTTTACCCAACCCCCATTTACATTAATTCTTGTA